ACATAAATAATACAAAAAACACTTTAAATTTTTTTTTGACTTGCACCAATGATCTTAAAATATCGTGACAAATAAAAGATCAAAATTTTACTTCATTTCGTAACTTTCTGAAAATGACCGAATACTACGTAAATGCCCGAAAAAGGTCGAAAAATCAATAAAAATATATAAACAATACAACAAACGCCACAAACAAAAATTTGACTTGCACCAATGACCTTAGAATGTCATGACGAATAAAAGATAAAATTTTTACTTCTTTTCTTAACTGCCCGAAAATTGTCGAATATTACGAAAATGCCAGAAAATAATCAAAAAATCAAGAAAAATTCACAAATTATACAAAAAAGCCTAAAAAAAATTCGACTTGTACCAATGACCTTAGAATATCGTGACGAATAAAATATAAAAATTTTACTTCTTTTCGTAATTGTCCAAAAATGGCCGACTATTACGTAAGCGCCTGAAAATGGCTGAAAAAGCAAGAAATATACATAAACAATACAAAAAATGCCAGCACGGGGCCCAATATCCGTTCGTCTCATATTAATTGATTACTTTTCATTTTCCACGGTATTGAAGAAATTATAAATAAAAAAATAACTTTACTAATTCAACCCTTAAAAAACTTTGTGAGAATTTTTACAAACAAATAGTGACACTTTCAAAAGAAATTAACGGCAAGGGTAATATAAGAAAATTTTAAATAATATTTTGTTGATTTAGTAAGATGATCAACTAATATGAGACAACAATTTTTAGAATAATAGTCAATTAATATGGACGAAGGGAGTGTCATAGAACTTGAAAAGTTAGCCAAATTTTATATGATTTAAAATAATATATATTACTCTCTTGTTTCAATTTACGTGGCATATATAGAATTTCAAAAATTAATCATTTTTTATGTCTTTTAAATATTTAACGTAATTTTCAGATCATATATGTTACTTATCCTGTCCCAATTTATGTAGCACTGATAAGATTTTTTAGAGTCAAGTGATTTTTTATATGTATTTTATACTTTTTAAATTATTAGTTATTGTGATTTATAAATTGATACCAATAAAATTTTGAGAGTCAATTAATTTTTTGTATATAACTTTGAAATATTTAAGTTGTTAATTATTATGATTTATAGTGTTATTTATATTTATACAATTTTTAGATATATAACAAACTAAAAAAAAGACATAATTTTTCCATAAAATAAAGTAATTAGCATTTTTTTTTTTTGAAACTGGTAACTTGAAAAAGTAATTAGCATTTTAAAAAATGATTTTGCCATAAAAAATAAAATGAAATAAGTTATGAGGTATAAATAAAGAAAAGGAAATAAGAAGTGGGATCTATATTATATGCATTAATTAATAGAAGGAAAGTGGAGAAAAAGAATGGCCCACATGCATGGAAAGTAGGCAAATTTTTTTGCGGCAGAAAAGTAAAATGTGGAAGGGTTTTTATGTTCCAAATTTTAAAAGTATAACTACAAAAAAGTGAAGTACAATATTATTCATTAGAAAAGTATTAATAGTTGGACCAAATTGCCCTTAAATTTTCCTAAATATGGCAAAAAACAGCCATGTTAAAAGTTGAAAAACTCTCTTCTATATAAGAAGATATAAGATATAAGAGAAATAAATACATGGCATACACTCCTTCTCTATTCCTTTTTACTTGACAACCATTTTCTTTTTTAGTACTTGTTTATTAACAAACAAATCATAAGCGATTTTGTTATTTTGTTTCAACATATTTTACTATTATAGGACTAGATAAACTATTAATAGTTAAATTTATATTTTCAAAACATAAGCAATAATATTAATTCATTACAGTAAACTCCTCATAATGTGATTTGATTAAAAAACAACAACTAATGTAATACTAAAAAATAAGGAACTACAAATTAGGGACGAATTATAAGGAAATTTAGTTTGCTGGGATCTTTTTAGTGAAGGATTATGTAGGGACTATCGATAAATTTTATAGCTAATTTCATATTTTCTTATAGTATAAGAACATTGTTAGCTATGAAAAATGAATCATTTCTCACCAATATGTAAATAAACAAAAAATAATAAAAATACTCTATACGTGTATAAAAGGTTACTCTTAGTATCTAATGGTATAATGATTTTATGAATATAAACAATTTACCATTCGGCATTAATCATCCAGTCATTCATGAATTGAGAACTAATTTAATTCTAGTATGTGATACTAAGTGCATATGATTAGTTACTTAAGGTGTGTTCGGTATTATGAAAAATATTTTTTTAGAAAATGGTTTCTAAGAAGATAAGTAGGCTTTTTTTTATTTTTATTTTTATGTTTGATAAACAAATAAAAATTAGTATCCTAAAAGTATTTGTATATAATTTAGACAAATATTATGAGAGGTGAAGATGGAGGATATGGTATGTGGTAGTGGTGGGATGAGGATGGGGAGCTTGGGGGGGGGGGGGGTAAGA